GACAGCAATGAAGCATTACATTGCCGAGCTGTTACTTATGTGATTTTTGAGGTCAAGAGGTTATTTGATCCCACTATCACTACCACCTTCAAAGACAAGATGAGTTAATCTTCTTTCCTATCAGTTCACTAGTGAGTGAAAAATGTCCAGTGGCGAAGATGGACTGTTAAAAGTCATTCCAGCTCTACTGTGGAACACCCTTCATTCATGGTTCAGAATCAGTATTTAATGTTTGTACAAATGATTAATGACAGGTTTTCATATACAGCCTTGAGACTTATTCCCAGCCTGCTGGAACTGCATGCATATCTTTTATTCATTAAAAAAAAATAGTTTGTTGTGGATCTGCGGCAGAATGGTTTCAGGTTAATTGTACTTTCTGTCACATTACATCCTTGTCCAGTGAAAAGATCCTGTTTTGTTCTGTTTGGTCACCACTCACCCATTTCATTTTCACATGCTTCACTCCCATTTATGATGGGATTATTTATTATTTTATAGATTTTTTTTCTATTTTCTACCCTCTCCTCCACTAAGTACTATGCATTTAAGATGTGCAATGCCCAATAGGATGTCAACTGCGTGAGGCAGTGCTCTCTTCCAAATAAGTGGAAATGAAGGGGCTGGCTTTGGGAGCTCCTCCCTACTCCCAGTTGGATGGGCTGTATTCAGTCTCATGTCCCCCAAATTCTCTAGATGCTATGTGCATGATCATGCAGCTCCCCTGAATAGCTGACACCCAAGCACAGGCTATTCTGTCCCTCTTGCAAGTGCTCTCACTAGTCCTGTAAAAAAGGGATAGCTTCCTCTCCTGGAGCATAACCCATGAGACATCTAGCGACCCTCTGGCCTAAGAACACCTCACCATAGAATGCTCTGATAAAAGGCAACTGGGCATCCAACATCCTGCTGAAGCCCTTCTCCCTAGACCTTCTAGTCTGCCCATTGAGGTTTCTATAGTGTGTGACAAAGCCCCACACTTAACAAAGAACTCCTGTGGGGCCATTTGTAGCCCTTTGCTTCTGCCTGCTGCATAATGCTCTGTGATGTGCATCTACTGCTTACCTGATCTCTTCTCCCAGTAATGGACACCCAATTTCTTGCTCCCACAAACTGTGTACAAAGACTGTGTCCCTGCCTTTTCATGAATCTTTTTGAAATTTCCCCTGGAGTAGAAGTGCTGGGTCATAGAAAATATCTATATGTAATTTGCCTGAGTAGTTCCAGATGGCTCTACTATAAAAACTTGCCTCTCTGCCCAAAGTTGATTGGCCTCAGGTGGACACCTGATCCAGGCTGCGTCTGTTGGATTCCATCTGGAAATTTAGAGTCAGGAAAGGACGTCTGTCTAATCATTTGACTTGGGAGTCTGCAGTCTTGAGAGACAGGGGAGTGTCCTGTTTCCATCAAGCTTGCATAGAGTGACAGAGAAAGCCTTTCTACAAAGAAAGAACTGAAGTGAGCTGTGATGAGGTGAAGACAGGAGAGATAGGAAGATCTCTCTCCAACCACAGAGATAGGAAGATCTGGGACTGGATGTCTTGATTCATTCTGGCTTTCTAGTGCTTGGGTCCATTCGTACTGAACTGTTTCCTCCCTTCTGAGTTCCATAGCATGTTCTTGCACATTCTCCACTCCAAAGCAAGATTCAATAAATTTCCATTACTTGTGACCAAATATGTGTGTGTGTTTTTGTCTTTTGTTACACTCAGTTTAATTATGATGTTTACATGTGGTTCCCTTTGATCTTATCCTGTTTGGAGCTTGAATTCATAAGTTTGTCTTTCTTTGAATTTGGTAAGTTTTTGGCCATTCTTCTTTCAAATGTTTTCTGGCCCAATCTCTTTTTCTTCTCCTTCTAGGACTCCAATTAGTTACAGCTTAGACTTTAGAATATTGTCCCAGTAGGTACCCATGGCTCTATCTTTTGTTTCTTTCAATTTTGTTTCTTGATTTTTTTTTTAATTGTACTTTGGGCTCTGGGGTACATGTGCACATCCTGCATCCTGTATGATTGTTGCATAGGTACATACATGCCATGGTGGTTTGCTGTCTGCATCCCCTTCCGCACACCCCCTCTGCATGGCCTACATCAGGCATTTCTCCTGGTGTTATCCCTCCCCATCCCCCCAGCCACCACTGTTCCTCCCCTCCTCTTCCCTCCATTCCCCTTCCTAGCCAGTGAGTATTGTTCCCTTCACTGTGCCCAAGTGTTCTCATTGTTTATCACCTACCTGTGAGTGAAAACATGCAGTGTTTGGTTTTCTGTTCTTATGTCAGTTTGCTGAGAATAATGGTTTCTAGATTTATCCATGTCTCTGCAAAGGACATGAACTTGTCGTTTTTTTATGGCTGCAGTGTATTCCATGGTGTATATGTGCCACATTTTCTTTGTCCAGTCTATCATTGATGGGCATTTGGGTTGGTTTCAGGTCCTTACTATCATAAACAGTGCCACAATAAACATACTTGTGCATGTGTCTTTGTAATAGAACGATTTGTAATTTTTGGGGTATATACCCAGTAACGGCATTGCTGGGTCAAATGGAATTTCTATTTCTAGATCCTTGAGGAATCGCCACACTGTCTTCCATAATGGTTGAACTAATTTACACTCCCACAAACAGTATAAAAGTGTTCCTTTTTCTTCACATCCTCTCCAGCATCTGTTGTCTCCTGATTTTTTAATGATCGCCATTCTAACTGGCGTGAGGTGGTATCTCAATGTGGTTTTGATTTGCATTTCTTTAATGACCAATGATGAGGAGCATTTTTCATGTTTATTGGCTGCATGAATGTCTTATTTTGAAAAGTGTCTGTTCATATGCTTTGCCCACTTTTGAATTTTTCTTTTCTTGTAAATCTGCTTTAGTTTATTTTGGATATTAGCCCTTTGTCAGATGGATATATTGCAAAATTTTTTTCCCATTCTGTTGGTTGCCAGTTCATTCTAATGATTGTTTGTTTTGTTGTGCAGGAGCTCTTAAGTTTAATTAGATCCCATTTGTCTATTTTGGCTTTTGTTGCCATTGCTTTGGTGTTTTAGTCATGAAGTACTTGCCTGTGCCTATGTCCTGAATGGTGTTACCTACGTTTTCTTCTAGGGTTTTTATAGTGTTAGTTCTTATGTTTAAATCTTTAATCCATCTTGAGTTAATTTTTGTATAAGGTGTAAGGAAGGGGTTCAGTTTCAGTTTCCTGCATATGGCCAGCCAGTTTTCCCAACACCATTTATTAAACAGGGAATCCTTTCCCCATTGCTTGTTTTTGACAGGTTTGTCAACGATCAGATGGTTGTAGATGTGTGGCATTCCTTCCAAGGCCTCTGTTCTGTTCCATTGGTCTATATCTCTGTTTTGGTACCAGTACCATATTGCTTTGATTACAGTAGTCTTGTAGTATAGTTTGAAGTCAGGTAGCGTGATGCCTCCAGTTTTGTTCTTTTTGCTTATGATTGTCTTGGCTAATGGGGCTCTCTTTTGGTTCCATATGAAATTTAATGTGTTTTTTTTTCCCAGTTCTGTGAAGAAGATCAATGGTAGCTTGCTGGGGACAGCATTGAATCTACAAATTACTTTGGGCAGTATGGCCATTTTCATGATAATTGATTCTTCCTAACCACGAGCATGGAATGTTTTTCCATCTGTTTGTGTCCTCTCTTATTTCCTTGATCAGTGGTTTGTAGTTCTCCTTGAAGAGATCTTTTACATCCTTTCTTAGTTGTATTCCTAGGTATTTTATTCTCTTTGTAGTAATTGTAAATGGGAGTTCGCTCATGATTTGGCTCTCTGTTTGTCTGTTGTTGGTGTATAGGAATGCTTGATTTTTGCGCATTGATTTTGTATCCTGAGACTTTGCTGAAGTTGCTTATCAGCTTAAGGAGGTTTTGGGCTGAGACCATGGGGTCTTCTAAATATACGATCATGTCATCTGCAGACAGGGACAATTTGACTTCTTCTTTTCCTAACTGCAGGTCCTTTATTTCTTTTTCTTGACTAACTGCTCTGGCTAGAACTTCTAATACTATATTCAATAGGAATGGTGAGAGAGGGCATCCTTGTCTAGTGTCAGTTTTTAAAGGGAATATTTCTAGTTTTTGCCCATTCAGTATTATATAGGCTGTGGGTTTATCATAAATAGCTTTTATTATTTGGAGATACATTCCATTGATACCTAGTTTATTGAGAGATTTTAGCATAAAGGGCTGTTGAACTTTGTTGAAGGCCTTCTCTGCATCTATTGAGATAATCATGTGGTTTTTGTCTTTAGTTCTGTTTATGTGGTGGATTACATTTACAGATGTGTGTATGTTGAACAAATCTTGCATCTCCAGGATGAAGCCTACTTGATCGTGGTAGATAAGCTTTTGATGTGCTGTTGGATTTGGTTTGCCAGTATTTCATCGAAGATTTTTGCATCATTGTTCATCATGGATATTGGCCTGAAGTTTTCTTTTTTAGCTGTGTTTCTGCCAGGTTTTCATATCAGAATGATGTTGGTCTCATAGAAAGAATTAGGGAGGATTCCCCTTTTTTTAATTGTTTGGAATAGGTTCAAAAGGAATGGTACCATCACCTCTTTGTATGTCTGGTAGATCAGCTGTGAACCTGTCTGGACCTGGACTTTTTATAGTTGGTAGGCTATTAATTGCTGCCTCAACTTCAAACCTTGTTATTGGTCTATTCAGGGTTTCAACGTCTTCCTGGCTTAGTCTTGGGAGTGTGCAAGTGTCCAGAAATTTGTCCATTTCTCCCAGATTTACTGGTTTATGTGTATAGAGCTATTTGTAGTAATCTCTGATGATAGTTTGTATTTCTGAGGAATCAGTGGTGATTTATCATTTTTTTATTGTATCTATTTGATTCTTCTCTCTTTCCTTTTTTTTTTTACTAGGCAAAGAACTTTATTAACCTTGGTTTCAAACTTGATTCACAGGCTTCTTCGGCTTAATTAGCTGCAAAGAATGAATTGCATATAAGCAAAAAACTGAAAAGAGCTGCAGTGTCCAAGGGGCTTGGGCTTAAAAATATTATAGATCTAGATTTTATCAGATCCATAAACAAAAATTTCTTAAAAAGCAGTCATAATATAAAATAGCAGCTCCCAGTAACTTCTTCAGGTTTTATCTTCAGAAGTTGACTCAATTCAGTTTGCCTCATTCTTGGAAGCCTCATCAAAATTCTCCACAAGATCTGGAACTTCATCATCATCCTGCTCTCCAGGAGCAAGTGGTGCTTTTCCATCCACAGATTGTTTGGGCAGAGCTTCAGACAGTCTCCTTAAACTAGTCCGACTGTCTGCACCGAGCTGGTTTAGGATGCTGGGTAGCATTTCTGTCCGCTGCTTTGTCTCAGCATGGCCTGTAATGGTGAAAGTGTTTGCTGCCAGAGATGCCTGAACTTTAGGGTTGTTAAAGTGGAACACTGTTCCTTCCTTGGTTTGTAAACATATTCACCTCTTCAATACCAGAGATACTGTTTACCCCTAACTTCTTTAAGGAGAACTGAAGTTTTTTATCATCTGCTGTGGCTATTCTATGAACCACCTTCTTCTTTCTGCGAGCAGTTTCTTTCCCACCAATGCTCACTTGTGCCTGCAGTTTGGCGAGTTTTTCCTGGTTCATGATTGTTTCTTTCATCTTGTTAGAGCGGAAAAGGGATCACGTGGGGGACTAGGGTTGGTGCTCAAGGGGTCTCAGGTGGACCACCTGAGACTAGGCGCACACACGCGGGTACGCCTCTCTTTCCTTTTTTTCAGTCTAGCTAGCAGTCTGTCTACTTTGTTGATGTTTTCAAAAAAACTGGCTCCTGGATTTATTGATTTTTTGAAGGTTTTTTTGTGTGTGTGTGTTTCTATCTCCTTCAGTTATGCTCTGATCTTAGTTATTTCTTGTCTTCTGCTTGTTTTTTAGTTTTTTTTTTTTTTTATCTTGCTTCTCTAGCTCTTTCAATTTTGACAATAGTGTGTCAATTTTAGATCTTTTCTTATTTCTCATGTGGGCATTTATTGCTATAAATTTCCCTCTAGGCACTGCTTTAAATGTATCCCATGGATTCTGTTCTGTTGTGTCTTCATTCTTACTGGTTTTGAAGAACATTTTTGTTTCTGCCTTCATTTCATTGTTTATCCATCCATCATTCAAGAGCAAGTTGTTCAGTTTCCATGTGATTGTGGAGTTTTGAGTGCTTTTTCTTTTCTTTTTTTTGAGACGGAGTTTCGCTCTTGTTACCCAGGCTGGAGTGCAATGGCCCGATCTCGGCTCACCGCAACCTCCGCCTCCTGGGTTCCAGCAATTCTCCTGCCTCAGCCTCCTGAGTAGCTGGGATTACAGGCACATGCCGCCATGCCCAGCTAATGTTTTGTATTTTTAGTAGAGACGGGGTTTCACCATGTTGACCAGGATGGTCTTGATCTCTTGACCTCGTGATCCACCTGCCTCAGCCTCCCAAAGTGCTGGGATTACAGGCTTGAGCCACCACGCCCGGCTTGAGTGCTTTTTAAGATCCTGAGTTCTAATTTGATTGCACTGTGGTCTGAGAGACTGTTATAATTTCCACTCTTTTGCATTTGCTGAGGTGTGATTTACTCCCAAATAATGTGGTCAATTTTAGAGTAAGTGTGATGTGGTGCTGAGAAGAATGTGTATTCTGTGGATTTGGGGTGGAGTGTTCTGTAAATGTCTATTAGGTCCACTTGGTCCAGATCTGCATTCAGGTCCTGGATATCCTTGTTGACTTTCTGTCTCGTTGATCTGCCCAATATTGTCAGTGGAGTGTTAAAGTCTCCCACTATTATTGTGTGGGAGTCTAAGTCTCTTCGTAGGTCATTAAGAACTTGCTTTATGTATCTGGGTGCTCCTGCCTTGGGAGCATATATATTTAGGCTAGTTAGCTCTTCTTGCTGCATTGATTCTTTTACTGTTACTTAATGCCCTTCTTTGTCTCCTTTGATCTTTGTTGGTTTAAAGTCCTTTTTATCACAGACTAGGATTGCTACCCCTGCTTTCTTTTGCTCTATTTGCTTGGTAAATCTTCTTCCATCCCTTTGTTTTGAGTCTATGTGAGTCTTTGTATGTGAGATGGGTCTTCTGAATACAGCACACTGATAGATCTTGACTTTTTATCCAGTTTACCAGTCTATGTCTTTTGATTGGGGTGGGTAGGCTATTTACATTCAATGTTATTATTGTTATGTTTGAATCTGATCCTGCCATTTTGTTACAGGCTGGTTGTTTTGCTCATTAGTTGACACAGTTTCTTTATTGTGTTGTTGTTCTTTACCATTTGGTATGTTTTTGCAGTGGCTGGTACTCGTTATTCCTTTCCATATTTAGTACTTCCTTCAGGAACTCTTGTAAGACAGATCTTGTAGTGATGAAATCTCTCAGCAATTGCTTGTCCAACAAGGATTTTATTTCTCCTTCACTTATGAAGCTTAGTTTGGCCAGATATGAAATTCTGGACTGAAAGTTCTTTTTTTTTAAGGATGTTGAATATTGGCCCCTACTCCCTTCTAGCTTGTAGGGTTTCTGCTGAGAGATCCACTGTGAGTCTGATGGTCTTTCCTTTGTGGGTGACTCAACCTTTCTCTCTGGCTGCCCTTAGGATTTTTTCCTTGATTTCTACCCTGGTGAATCTGATGATTATTTGCCTGGGGGTTGATCTTATTGAGGAGTATCTTTGTGGTGTTCTCTGTATTTCCTGGATTTGGATATTGGCCTGCCTTGTTAGGTTGAGGAAGTTCTCTTGGGTAATATGTTGAAGAGTGTTTTCCAGCTTGGATTTATTCTCTCTGTCACATTCAAGTACACCGATCAAGTGTAGATTAGGTCTTTTCACATAATCCCATAGTTCTTGGAGGCTTTGTTCATTTGTTTTCACTCTTTTTTCTCTAATCTTGCCTTCTAGTTTTGTTTCATTAATTTGATATTCAATCTCTGATATCCTTTCTTCTGCTTGATTGATTTGACTGTTGAAACTTGTGTATGCATTGTGAAGTTCTTGTGCTGTGTTTTTCAGCTCCATCAAGCCATTTGTGTTCTTCTCTAAGCTGGTTATTCTAGTTAGCATTACATCTAATCTTTTTTCAAGGTTCTTAGTTTTTTTGCATTGAGTTAGAACATGGTCTTTTAACTCAGACAAGTTTGTTATTGCCCACCTTCTGAAGCCTGCTTCTGTCAATTCATCAAACTCATTCACTGTCTTATTTTGTTCTCTTAATGGTGAGGAGTTATGATCCCTGGGAGGAGAAGAGGTGTTTTCATCCTTTTTGCACTGGTTTTTCCCATCTTTGTGGATTTATCTCCCTTTGATCTTTGAAGTTGGTGATTTCGGGAGGAATTTCTGAGTGGATGTCCTTTCTGTTGAGGTTGGAGCTATGTCTTTTTTGGCCTGTAGAGGCACTGCTGGAATGCCTTGGATTCAGCCGGACTGCTGGGTGGGTGGTCTTCACCTGGAGTTTGTTTATGCAGATGAGATTATCCCCATCTTCCCAATGGTGTCTCTCCTTCTCCCAGCTCAAACTTCTGATTAGGGTCAAACTGGTATATTGGCTGCTGCCAAGCTCTCTAGCGCGTGGGCTTCAGGTTGAGTTTTGTGGGGGTTGGGCCTGCCAGGCCTTATGGCCTGTTTCCCTCTTTACAGCTCTGCCTCTTTCAGCGGGACAGGTAGTTCCATCCCATCAGTCCAAATTTCTGCTCAGGTCAATGCCAACAACTTGCAGCACCAAGCGGGAGCTGTCACTCAGATTTGCATCGACCACCCATGGCACCTCTCAGTCCAGCAGGGCTTTCATGGACCGTGGGCTGCGGGAGGGATGAGGGAAGCACAGGATCCTAATCTGAGCACCAAGTGGGTGAAGTCCCTGACCCTCTGAGCTGGCTGCACATTCCAGGTGGGGATGCACTCTGTCCTGTCTTGATTCGCCCTCCCTGGGCTGCTGCTCTGCTTCAGATTACTTTCCCTGGGCTATTTTCAGTGCCCTTGGCTGCTTTCAGTTCCTTACCAGTCCCACTGAAAAGAACCTGGCACCTCGTTTGAATTAGTGAAGTCCTCTAGCCATCTGTGTCTCATTTGCTGGGAGCTGCATTCCGGTGTTGCCTCCTCTCGGCCATCTTGGCACCCTGTCCAAATGAGCTTTTTAACATAAAATAGATTAATCCTACTGAAAATCAATAACAAACCCAAATCTGATCTGAATATTTTACAAAGTTTTCTGAAACCTGTGTTCTACAGGTTTTGGGAAAGGAAGTTTTGGTTTTGATGAAAAGCTGAGTTTTATCCATTGTTTTTCTCATGAGAAGTGGAATTCTTCTATCAGATACAGGCAGTAAATATTCATTCTTGAATTTCTATTAAAATATTTTTTAAAAAGCACATACCAGAAAAATTTTTTATAGGACCAAGACCCTGTACAAATTAGATATGAACTAGCAAATGTGAAGACGGCTGTTTTAATGTGTGACTTTTAATTTAAATATTTTGTGTCATAGTATATGCATTGCCCTCTGCCTCTGGCCATAAATATTAGCATAACCTTTAACATTGTAGGCATTTCTTTTCAGACCTGTTCACTAGAATATTTGAATGGTTATACTCAGGTTTGGGTGGTCATTAGCTTTTCATAACATCTTTTCATAATGCTGGTTTAAAAAAATGTCTGATTGAGTGGTGTTGGGCCAGATATGTGGGAGTAAATGGATTTAGTGTCATTCAAAATGGTTGACCTCTTTTGTGACTGAGAAGTATAGGGAGGCAGTGAAAAGAAATTATTGATGGCAGGACATAAAAATATGGTTAATAAAATGGCAAGATACCTTCTTTTTCCGGGTAGCAACAACACCAAAGGTAAATGCCACTGTTTCTATAGTTTTATGAAGAAAATGGTTTTCCTCATTTTGTTGCATTGGAACTACCCCATTCATCCTCCTTTATATCCTACCTGAGAGTTGTTTCATCTTCTGTGTAGTGGCTGCCCAATAATTTTATCTTTTCTTTCCTCCCATTGTATTTTTCTTGGTTCAGCCCATCTGTTGTGAATCTCTGATAAAATGTAGTAAAAATTCAGATTTATGGCTAGGGAAAATCAGAATCAGGTGGTTTTCAGTTAAAGAGAAACAGATTTATAATGGCAAAAATCTAGCAAAATCACTTCTGAATAATATGTATCAAGGCTTCTTTATAAAAAAGAATAAGAAAGGTAAGTAAAAATGACTGGGTGCTTTCATTTGGATATTTCTACATGGTGAAACATAGATCAGCAAAAAAAAAAAAAAAAAAAAAAAAAAGACAATCAGTTGAGGTAGACGGGAAGCAGTGGCCGATGTCCTGTAAGTTTACTAAAAAGAAATATTTTTTTCTTTTTTTCTAGTTTATAAGCTCCTAATTTTCCCATGAAGATAAAAGGCAATTCAAAGCCACATTTTTCCCAGGAAATGCTTTTGTGTTCATATTATTGTTACAAAGTGAAACTTTTTAAATGTTATTTGAACAAATGAATGGCTGAATTATGCCAAATGTTGAAGTTTTTAACCTCCTTTAGTAATTCAAACTTTATGAATCAGAATAAGTGAATGAGGTCATTCTGGTCCTTGGCTTCTAGGTTATGAGACAGCCCCTCTTCACTGGACTTGGCCTTATA